AGATTTAATATTGAATCTTGTAGGGCGTGTCCGCGAGACTTTTTTCAGCAGTTTTTGACTGAGTTCGCGTCTGTACCGTAAACACGATGACGCTCGGGGTTTGTTCATTTTGCAGTTAGTAGCCAGTAAAATGGTCTTTCTAGAGACATGTCTGCGACACTTGTATGTTTTCCGATGGTGACGCATTTAAGCCCCAAAGTAGCCGTTACCAAATTGTCAGTCCGTAACGACGACTTTGGGGCTTAAATGCGACTCTATCTGAAAAGATACAAGTGGCATAGACAGACATGTCCCTGGAAATCCCTTTTTAAAAGCTATTTACTGGAAAAAGAACGAACCCCGAGCGTCATCGCGTTTACGGTACAGACGCGAATAAAGTTCAAAAACCTGCAAAAAGTCTCGCGGACACGCCCTACAAGATGTGCACACAAACGCATCTTATTGCAATGGAGAAAAATTGTTTTTTGACATTTAGAGTTGAAAGGGAACATATATTCTGCCTGTGTTGCCGTCTCTACTGTGAAACTGACCATTGTGCGCGGGGAGAGCCGCCTGGGAGGTAGGCCACTCTCCATGGTGGGGACTTGGGTGGGTGGCCTACCTCCCAGGCGACTCTCCCACCAGTGGGCCCGTGCCCATGACCCCGTGAAAACGCACCTGCAAACCACATCCCTGTAAACGTGTTTCAGGTAGACTCAGGAATAATTAGGGGCCGTTCACATATGACGCAACGCACCCTTACCCTTGGAGGGGGGGGGAGAGAGAGAGAGAGAGAGAGAGAGAGATAGAGAGAGAGAGAGAGAGAGGGGGGGGGGGGGGGGGGGGGGGGGGGGGGTGCAGGCGTCACCAAATGTGACAAGAGGGTAAAGGCTTGTGACGTCATGCGTTTCGCTAATTTGCATTGCCCTTAATCTTCATGAGGTATTAATTATCAAAAATTCTAGCTCAAACCGGTCAACCGAGGACATTTTACAAGATATTTAGAATGCAAACGTTTTATGTGATCCCATCGATTTACCTTCACAGCAAGTTAAAAATACATCTCTTAAAAGCAATCTGCAGTATGAGGTTGATATGCCTATTTGCCAGGGGTAGTGACTTAACAGTTGTCCGAGTACAGGACTAGCCCAAGTGGAAGACACTAACCGTCCAATCGGTACAGACCGATCAAAGCCTGATATGCGA